TCCCCCTCTCTCTCCCCCTCTCTCCCCCTCTCCCCCTCCTTCTCACTTCTCTTTCCAAACACGTACAGAATTACATACTATGCTCTTCAGTGTTTTCCATTTTTTCTCATGGTAATGAGAATGTCCTGTTTTGCTGAGCTCTCAGTCTCCTTTTGCATATCTTTGTAGAATTCATTCTCCTACTTCTTATGTCGTTATTGACTCTGGGGTGCCTAATTTTACCAATATGATGTTCTTGGCCTGTCCATCCAATCTAATAGATACAATTCTGTCATTTATTGGTTTGTACTTCGTCAAATGTGTGGTCGTTGTTTGAGTCATGTATGCAGCTACTCTGCGCGTTTGGCCTGCTCCCTCTTTTCTTTAGTAGGCTAGGGGCACTTTGTAAGCTCAGTTGGTATCATGTAGGACTGCGGAGCAGATGACCTTGGTTCGAATTCCAGACTGGCTGGGTGTACTTTGTGTTCTTGAACTTAGGGCGTTTTGTGGAGTTTTTGGGGTCTTTACCCATTTGGTTTAGCCCTATCAGATACAGTCATTAAATTTGGAGGTCCCGTCTCTTAACCCTATCCGTACGTCGTGTTTTACTAATGTATCCATAGAATGTGGGGAGCTCTGCGCCACCTTTTTCCGAATAGGAAATTTACTAGTTAATCAGTTCCGTACGCTTTGCATAGCAGTCTATCAAAATGATTTTTTGAGAAATACTGGAAGTTTCAAAGAATTCTTCGCACAGAAGTAGGCCTATTCTAAAATGTGAAGAATACAACCCCTGAGGTACAAAATGACGCTCAGGCGTACGGATAAGGTTAAATGATATAAAAATGTTTTAAGTAGATTGTCCACAGTACCACCCCCCCCCCCCCTTTCCCTTCAGATATTAACTTTCATTATGGAATAATACACATGCAATATGCTTCAAAGTAGAGATATGGCCAGTACATTAGTAAAATCAAGGAAGGTTTCTTCAGGGAAGGATGTGTCTTACTATAACAAAGGGTGATGGGGTAATTTTTACGGTGGGGAATTTTTAATCTATTGTTTTTAATTTTTACCCAGTTGGCGTGGCCTATTCTTGTAATTCTCAACGTGCGGAACTTGCACTAGGGACCTCTTAGTTTTGCCTCCCTATCTGAGAAGAATAGCGAGCCTACCTTAGAAATGTAAAATGTTGCCTGCTTATTACATAGGCCTACTCCGATGAATGAAAAATATTTTGAGTATCACATTTTGAATTGTTTGACTTAGTTGGCAACATTATCATTAAGTCTAGGTCACAGGGTCATTGTGAGGTGGCAGTTATGTTTCTTTTCTTAGGAAACAGCGAACAGCATGTAATGTTAGTCTACACACACGACTGTAAAACTGGAGAGACGAACACACACGACAGCAAGCATTCTAATAATGAGCCCGGGTGTAGTGTCTGACTTTTTATGTAGATCCCCGAAGTGAGTAATATTAACCAAGAGCCCATGGCATACGGGGCGCTTACGTCCCGTGAGTAAAAAAGAGTAAGGTACAATACGGTGACTACCGTGACACAGCGCACTGATTGTCAAGATGTGCAAAGACGTGGTTGGATTTAACTTTCACCCTAGTGTAGTAGTAGGGGCTGTAGGCAGTAGGCTAATGTTGTAGATATTATAGGCTATTCTTCTTCGTTGTCTTCTTAATTTAAAGGGGGGGATATTGTCCTCAGTTAATTTGGTACACTGTGGGTTTTTTAAAAATATTGCTGTTACGTGCAGCGACTAGGTTGAGTTTACCGTGGGTATGACCTGAGTGAACTTTTTAAAAATGATCAATAGATCTATAATGAAGTATTGCAGCTGTCCGGTTGAGGCTTGATCGCTAAGAAAGTGGCTATTCTCACCCGCCCGGTAGTTCTCGCAAGATCAACTCCTCCCCTCTTCTCTCTCTCTCTGTCTCTTTCTGAATACTGTCTATCGGTGTGGACGATCAAATTAACCAAAACA